TGCTGTATTATAATAATTATAATATTAATTTTTATTATTAAATATATAAGATTTTATAAAAGACTTTTACAGAATCTTCTTAATATTAAAAGACTAGTAACTAAGTACTAGTAGTAGAAATTAAAATTATATTATAATTATAATAATACTGATTACTAAGTAGTAATAGTACTTAAATATTTATATAGTATTAATACTACTACTGTAGTACTGTAATAATCTTAGATATATATTTATTATAATTAATTATTAATAATATTATTTAGTAGTAGTATTCTATTTATTATTCTCTTATTTATATAATCCATGATATATATCTATCTTAAATAAATATAAATATAATAAATTTTTAATAATTTTTATAATAATATTAATTTATAAATTATTAATATATATAATACTTATCTTTCTATAATTAATACCTTTGGTATTAATATCTTTGGTTATTATAATAATTATATATATAAATCTTTAATAATAGAAATATGTTTAAGTTTTAGAAAATATTATTTATTAATAATATAGCTCTAGATATTATTAAGCTTTTATTATAATTTATAAAATTTATAAAAATTATTCAGAACTTTTATTTCTAGCTATATTTTTTATAAATTAGTTTTTATTTTTTTTTATTCTCTGTTATTTAACTTGAATTATATTTTATTTTATTTAATTAATCTATATTAATTAGTAATACTTATTATACCTTATTTTTAAAAGACTAATTATTAAAGATTAGAATATAGTATAAGTTTTTTTTTTATTAAATATCTAGATAATATTCTTATACAAGTAGAGTCTATTTAATTAAAATATATTAATATTAATTTTAATAGTAGCTAAACCAGTGGCAGCTAATAATTTTAATATAAATAATTTTTATATTAATTTTAATATTTATACTGGATATATTATTAGTACTGATTTAGATAATAATATAAAAATAAATATTAATAGTAATAATGATGGCAATACTAATATAAATATTAATAATAATATTAATTTCAGCAGTAATACTGATAATAATATTAATATAAATATTAATAATATTATTAGTTTTAATAATAATATTAATAATAATACTAGTATAGACAGTAATACTAACTTTATTAAAAATAATATATATTTTTTTTAATATAATTTATAAAGATATTTTTTTTTTTAATAATTTAGAAGGTTTTCTGATTATATTCTTTTAAAAAATTTTTTTTTATAAAAATAAGAATAGCTAGTAGAAGTTTTTTATAAAATATTTTAGATTTAATATTAATTATTTTTAAGACTAGTTTTTTAAATTTATTATTATATTTAAATTATAAATTTCTATTATTCTAATCTTCCAGAGCAACTATATAATATTATATAAGATATTAATTTTAATTATATTATTTAAAAAGCTCAGATCTATTCCCAGAAAACTAGATATTTTAAAAAAATATATATAAAATCTTTTATTTATATTACTAATAAAGATATACTTTATTTTAATTAATTCTAAGACCTAAAATTTAGTTTTATTAATTATAAAAAATTTCTCAGAATAAAAGATATTTATATAATATATTTATAATCTACTATATCTTTTCTCTTTTATTTTATTATTTAATTTAGAATTATTTAAGCTATATTTTAGAATAATAAAATATTCTGATTATCCTGTTAAATTATAATATTATTATATATAAAATTTATCTTTTATTATTATATTCAGCTAGTATATTTTTTATCTAGATTCTAGAGATATCTTTTTTTTAAATAATTTTATTTAATTTATTTTCTAATTATAGTAGTACTTCAGTATATTATTTTAATATAATAAAATAATATTTATTAATAAGAATATCTAGTTTTACTTATATATATATAATTAAGTTATTTATATTATTTAATCTATTCTTAAACTATATTAACTTATTAAAATTTAAAATAAATATAAATATTTTTTTAAACTTACAGATTCTCATATTAATAATAAATATTAATTAGTAGAGAATATAGTATTTAAAATCTTTTTTATATTAATTAATAGCTGTATTAATTTTTAGCTTATTTATATAAATTTTTTAATTATATTATCTAATAATATTATCTTTATTTATTATATTTTAATTCTCTGTATTAGATAAATATAATTATATATTTTTATATATCTACTCTGAGCAGAACTTGAGCTTAAGATATTTAAATATAATTATTTTATATAATTATTTTATTAATTATAAGTAAAATCTCTTTTTTTTTTTTTATTAATAATTTCAAAATTTATTATAATATATTTAGAATTTTAAAAAAAATTTATCTAATACCAGCTGGCCTGTTTTATCAAGAATAAAAATATTTAATTAATTTTTTTATTATAATACTAGGCTCTTATAATATTTTATTTTAGAATATTCTAGCTAATATCAGTACTAATCTTAAAATTATTATAAAAAGCTTTTATAATATTTTTTATAATAAATAAGTAATTATTACTATATCTATTATAGTACTTATTAAAGATATATTATAATAAATTAAGAATAATAATATACTTAACTATAATACTAATATAGAATATTAGATTTATTATTATTTTTAAAAAAAAATTAATTTAAAATATAATATAGTCTCCCATAGCTGGTATTATTTTTAATATTAATATTATTAAATTAAAAGTAATTATCAGGTAATTATCTTTAAATAATAAAAATATTTTAATATTAAGAGAATATAATCTATATTCTTACTAATTAAATAAATTATTTTAACTTTTAATATTATTCTGGACTGTCTATATAATATATTTTATTTTAATTAAAAAAAATTAATTATTATTTTTTAAAATATATCTAGAGAATTTTTTTATTTTCTAGTATTATTAATTTTAATATAATTTTATAAAAAGTAATTCAGTCTACTTATTAATTTTAATTTTTTTTTTTTAAAATATTTAAAGACCTGGATATTATCAGAGCTTAATTAAAAAATTATTATTTTATTTATTATTTTTTAATATTATATAATTACAGCCTGGTTCTATATAAGATTCTTATTATAAATTTAATTATTAATATTATTTCTCTTTTTTATTATAGATTTATTTTTATTTTTTTAGTAGCTAATCTATATTTATATAAAGATTATATTTATTATTATATTTATTTTAATTAGCTGAGTAATACCTCCTGATAATATATATATTTAAATATTTTATAATTATTATATTTTCTAGTATTTAATAATTATTATTTTAAGATTAACTAATTTCTAGTTATATACTTTTAGAATTTATAGTATTTTATATAATCTAATTCTTTTTTTTAATAAATTTAATTTATTAGTTTATTTATATACAGCAGAAAAATTACTGCATAATCTTAATATAATAATAAAAAATAATAAATAAATAAAGTATTTTAAAGTACCTGTTATCTATACTAATTTTTATTTTTATATATTTATTACTGAGTATAGTTTATTTATAAATTATAATATTTTAGTAAATAAGCTGAAGCATAAGTAAATATTTATTTAAATATATATAATTAATTATTAATATTTCTTATAAAAGTATTTAAAAAATAAATTAATTATATTTTATTATTTTAACTTATAGCTTATCTTTTTTAATTAAATTAATTTTATTATTTTATATACTTAGGCCTCGCTGGTTTCTGATAAAATAATTATTTAATTTTATTTTAAATAATCTAAAAATTATATAAATTCTACCTGTATCTTATCTAGAAATATATTTTTATAAATAAATTTAATATTAATATACAGATCTTAATAATATATTTTATTAAATTTTATTATTATTTTTTTTCTAAGTAGAATATACTGAATATATTATTTTTTATTTATTAAAAAAAATATTTTATCTCAGTACTTATTTAGTATAATAAATTTAATTTATTTTATTATTATTATATTAAATTTTATTTCTGGTAAATCTCTGGTCATTTTATAAAATTATTATAAAAATTTTTTATAATAATCTTTTATATTAATATTATATTAATTATTTTTTTATTTATAATTATTTATAAATAATCACTGCTAGAAGCTTTATTAAATATAAATTTTTATTAATATATTTTAGTTATAGTATAAAATATTATTTTTAATTATAAATTTTTTTATTTCTTTTAATACAGTATTGGAAATTTAATAATTTAAATTAAATAATAATATTCTCTTATTATTATTCTTCAGAAAATTAGTTATTATTAAAATTATAAAATAAAATTAAACAGGTATTTATAGTAGATATATATAATAATTTTAAATAATTATTAATTAATAATAATAGACTAGATTTAGTATACTATTTATAAAATATTAATTTTATATAATTATTATAATTCAGTTTTTTATTATTCTTAATATAATTTTATATAATTTTTAAGATTTTTAATTATAAGAATATATTATTACATGAATAATATAATCAGTAGATTAAGAATATTTATAATTTATATATATTATTTAATTTTATAGTATCTTTTCTGACTGTGAGTAATAGATATTATTAATATATAAAATATTAAATAAAGAATTATTTATTTTATTAATAGAATTTAATAAGTATTATTGAATAGTATATAACTTTATAATAATAAAATATAATTATCTGGTTTAGATAAGATTTATTAATTTAAAATAAAATTTATCTAAAAATAATAATAAATAATCTTTTTATAATATATAAATAACTGACTATTATTATATATAACTATTACTAAACTATATAATAATAGTAAATAAGAATAAGTAATTACAGGTAATAATAGTGAATGATAGTAATATATTATTATTAAATATTATTAAATATATTATCATCCTTACTACGCAGCCCTTCGGGCCCCTATGTAGTACTCAGGGTACCTAAATTCTTAGTACTAGGTAACTTTTATATACGTATTGCCATACATGCAGTCTGCATGAGCACTGATCTTCTGTTTTGTCGTAAGATAATCATGATAAATATAATATTGTATACTCCGTATTTCCATCTAAACCGCATAAGAAGTGATATAATACTGCACAAACCCAGTCAGCGACACCCTGCAACAACCCAATAAGCGAATGAATGAGTAACTCACCGTCAAACACGAATCCTGCTCATTCCAACTCCCGGGTAGAAAGACATACAGCACCAGAGCCGTCTCATTAATAAAAGCTACGCGCAACCCATTATTAGCCCCGATTACCCAGCTAAAGAAACCGGCAAAGACAAGAAAAAAAAAGAAGGGAACTCACAAGCAACAACCCTCGGATTCAACCTCCCCACACTCAGAATCCGACTCCAATCCTTCCCATCAATCCTCACCTTCGCCCACCCAGCCTCATCATCCGCCGGCACCTCCCTCATCCGCTCACTCGGCAACTGACCCAACTCCCTCCCCTCGTCCAGCTGTCCAGGATCCAAACTCGGATTCAATAGATCCGTCCAGACACTCGATATCCGGAACGCGTCCGTCCCGACAGCTACTTTGAGCGAGCCGTGCATATTAGCGGAGAGTTCTAGCTTCGGTGATGATAGTGATGGTGTTGTTGTTGAAGTGGCCCCTCCTGCTGTTGCTGCTGCTGACGATGATTTATTGGAAGAGTTCGTGGTAGCTAACTTTGTAAACCGCTCCGAGATACTCTTCAGCTGGATCAAGCTCGGCAGGAGGATATTTACATCTGGGTCTCGACACCGTGGCTGGTGGAGTCCTTCCACGGCGGATTCGTGGAGTACCTTGATGGGAATTTCTTGGGTGATTACTGTTTCGCGTTCTCGGGGGCCGGTGCCGGAGGGTCTAGCAGTGGCGGTGGCGCTGTTGTCGATGGTGGATGAGGAGTGATCTGTTGCTGCTGCTGTTTCTGGGATGTCGAGAGCATTGGATGTTGTTGTCCATGATGTAGCGCGAATAGTTAGTGCTAGGAGAGGTACGTTGCCCTTTTTGGTGAGTCGCAGGTTGGATAGTTTGGCGGATACGGCGGAGCGTAGGGCGCGGTGGAGAGCGCCGATGGGGACTTCGAGGTTGATTGCTCCGGTGTTGGATTCACATATGTAGGATTCTTCCTCGAAGATGGTGTCCTGGGGGATGAGTGTTAGTTTTTGGGTATACTTGGGGGATGAGGAGGAGGGGGAGACGTACGATCGGGAGTTGAGCCCATACTTGTGTGCCTTGGTCGGGGATGATGGTGAAGCGGATGAAGTCTTTCTCAAGACGCATCCAACATACCTTTCCCAGGGAAGAGAGGGAGGCGGTTAGTTCTGGGGAGAGGAGGGGAATGTGGAGTTAGTATGGGGTTTGCTTGGATTGTATGGGATGGTGATGGCGGCGTTTGATGAGACACGGTTGGTTTGATTTGACTGGGAGAGCTTAGGTGAAAGGGATAGGCGATGGGAAGACCACTCACTGGAGAAGATAGACGCGTTGGCTATTTGGGTTCGAAAACGCATCTTGATTTCAGGGAATTACTTGCATGGATAGAGGTGTGATGCTACGCTAGTCCACCGGTTTGAAGCCGGAGACGGGTCGAGACTCGAGCAGAGGTGCCTTATCGATGATAAGTTCGGGGATCGGCCGCGCCGGTGGGGATTTCCCGCGAACCCGCGAACCAAACTTCGCGCAAAAAAGGGGATCGCCATTGCGGCGGGAATAAACAGACTACTCGTTACGTCGATGATTGATAGCTATGTATATGAACTTCCATGATTGAGATCACATAATGAGACTTATATGGGTGGTACTTCGGAAGATTGATTGCCACCAGCATTCATCCAGTTGGTATCACCGAGGCATACAATGGATTGCTAAGCATCGTGGTCTGTATACTAGCCACGAACAGCGCAAGCAGGATCACGACTGCATAGAAGATTCCATGTTATTTCGATGAAACATCAAGCAAACTCAGTCTGTCTACGGGCTGTGAGCAAGTAATTTCTCACGGACATATCTCCGCATACTTCGGGGTGGCGCTCAGCGCCTCATCGACTCCCATCTCGGACTGAGACTGAGCTTCCAGTGGACCAACCTTGTTATTTTTGGATTCATAATCATAGAGTGTCTATGGCCTAGACTTGATCTGTGTGCTAGGACTTGCAAGGTACCATCTTCTCTCACTCCTCCTTGCGGCTGTCGAGTTAGTGGGATGGCCCCTGAAGTAGTAACAGTCGCATCCATGGTTCCATGGGGATGTCTCCCACGTGGTTCGTAGCATTCCTCGATTGCTTCATGTTCCTTACATGTCTCATCCTTACTGACACAATAGTAGACTACTGTATGGTTAGGTTCTTTCATCTCAAGGGATCACGAACGGGTGTCCGTCCCTTGCTCCTTTTGGGAAGGGAAGTCCAGGCACCAAAGGATCTTCCTTCATTGATGAGTTAGTATCCCTGTTAATGGGGTTGTATTTTGGGCTCATCTACACTGCCTTCTCACGAGAGAGGGGTGCTCTGTTATTTGTCGCAGGACCGACCTATGTATAGTATCTTGTTTATGCCTTTCTTTCGGATCCTTGCCTGATCCTGGAGGAGTGTGGAGGCTCACGAAGGGAAGGGTTGCCTTGTCGCCTGGTAGCTATCTGTTCTACCACGACGACAACCAGCTGGAGTCGCAATGTAGCAAAGTACACGTCAATGAACGAGTAGAAGTGGCGGACCAAACACGATTAACCTCGGGTATAGAGGAACGAAGAAGGTAAGACCACTTCAACGGCTGCAAGACACAGTGGGTAAGTGTGTTAGGGTACGTGGGTAGGCGGAAGTGCACGGAAGGGAGACACAGACACAGTCAGACCCCAAAGGCAGCTCACAAATTCCAATAGCCAGCCAGATACGATATGCAAGGGAGGGTCGATCACTGATCTGCTATCCGTATGATAAACTCTGCGCTTGAGCAATCAGAAGCAAGAACAGAAAGAGATTATTGACAAGCGGTCGAAGTCAATTTGCTTTTATTTTCATCGTGCACGACCACTTGGGGCCGCACTCCCATGGACTGTCAATTCAATTGATTTCCCACGGATTAAAACAGAGGCACGGCCATTTATTCTGATGACCGTACACAGAACCAAAGTCAGACAGCGGATCTTTACGGGGGAAGAAGGACCCGCATCAACTCCGAGGGGGAATGTGTCTGTTCTTTTGCTGCTGCATGGGACTGGATCCTCGTGTGTGAGACATTAAGGAGGGGGTGGGAGATTTTTCCTTCTGTAAGTACGATGTCGCACAGGAAAATGTGCATTATTGAAATGCTGGCATCCTCCTAGAATGGATGGATACATGAGATCCCAACTATGCTGCATCGATCGAGATTTCTCTGAATATTCTCTGCTTTCGCTTTGTGAGGGGAGGGGGAAGGATTATTACTTCCGGTTGGTTTAGAAAAAAAAAACAAGGCGCGAATAAGAAGGGGAGAAAAGGGAAGGGAAGTAGTACAGTTGGCAGATGGTGAGGCTAATTAGTCGCCAATTTCACAGGGCCAGCTCAGTAATAATAATACTGGTAGCCTATTAATGTAATAATTATGATAATTATAATACTCATAAAAATGATCACAAAAATAATAATCATATTAATAATGAAGAAGAAGAGAATAAAAATAAAATGACTGACATCTTAACGGAGAATCCACAGCTCAGTAATTGGGGTTTGTTAGTTAGTTAGTTAGCTAACTAACTGGAGTGTATACTTAGTAACTTGGTCTGGTCTTAAATTCCCCCTTAATCGATTGGCGGCGGCTCCACCCTTTTTTCTGGCATCGCCAAACCCGCGCGTCTCCGTCCACGCCATCACCAACTCACCTCTGCATATCCCCCCCCCCCCGTCTTCGAATCATCGTCGCCATTTCTGGTCTCGTCACTCTTTTTCCATCTGGGCCCAATACCTGAGCTGGTCTCTCCGATCATCCTAATCATCCCACCCTCGTTCTTTTTATCTATCTATCGCGCTCTTCCTGCAGCCACCCAACTTTCCCTCGCCCTGGGCTCCCCTCAGCCGTTTTGAGGCCCTGCAGTGTGATCTATCATCATCCGCCGAAACTCTGCTCCTCCAGAGTTCTTATTCCCTCACTTTTCTTTTTCTCGCCCTAGTTCCTTTTCTTCATTCTTTTGTCAGACCTTTTCCCCCGGTGTCCTGTCTGCTCACGGTGCTCCGACATATACCTACCTACCTACTGATTCATTCACTGCACCTCCGCAACTTTCCCATCCGGTGATCGCGATTGTACCAGCTCATCCCCAATCTCACCACCACCCACCCACCCACCCACGACCTTCTGGCTGTCACCTTTATATAGCTTTGGCGGGATCGCGTCAGCATGCTCGCTCTTCAGCTACACCCACTCTCTTTTACACTTGATACTACAGCTCGACCCCCATCACCGAGAACCCGTTATTGATTATTCCGCGACTGACCTGACCCGCTTGTCTGGGAGCTGTCGTTCTCCCGGAGCTTGCCGTTCTATTCCGACATGGCCAGCAGTCGCGTCAACCCCCTTCACCCACCCACTCGTCCGCCCACCACCGCGCGGTCCCAATCCCCGGGCCGTCCGGCGGTGCTGGACTATCAGAATCTCGATCCCTTACTCGGCAACCTGTCTCCCGAATCAACCCTCCAAGCGCTGTCCGCAACCGACGCCGTGCCCCGGAATGAACAGGCCGCCCACGATATCCTCTCCAAAAGCATCTCCCAGGTTTCCCCAGCGGAGCGCGCCCTCGGTATCCGCGCAGCCATTGCAGCCCAGAAGCTCAACTTATGGTACAAAGAAGTCCAGTCTTGGGAATGGCCGAAACGGAGTGACATTCAACTAGGCAAGGGCTTCGTCCCCCCTCCAGGCGCTGCCGCGGAGGAGTACTGCGGAAGCCTTCCTAAAGCCGTAGTAGATCAGCATGAAAAGCGGATTGAGGAGATCCGGGATGGTATGGATGTCTTGGATGTGGATGAGCTTAAAGAGCACGTCCTCAATGCCCACATTCCAGCCCGGTCTCGGCCTTCGTCCGCCAATAGCACCTTATCGGTGCCTCCACCACTCAGTTATGTCCAACTCAGTGACTTCACGGCCGTCATCACCGCCACCATTCTCCGCGCTCTGCCGCTTCTCTCGCGCTTGAACAGTCTCTTGTCTACCTGGGATGTCCGATTGTTGGTTCTGCGCCAGGTACCTGAACTGCTCCGGCGATTGCGTCTGGCGCGCTCGGAATTGGATTCTGCCTTGGACTTGATCAAGTCGCCCACTCTTCCTGACGAAGATGGCCCCTTGTACTCTCGCATTAACTATCATGCCAAAAGGGCTACCCTGGAACTGACTGTTGTGTCTGCTGGTCGACAATTGGACCGCGTACTCGATGCGCTTGAAGGACGTGAGGACTCACTTCCCGAGAGCTGGATTGATGAACTAGAGGCTATCGAGTCAGAATTCGGAACGTGGGTCATGGAAGCCGAACGATGTACTGTCGAAAACGAATGGCGCCGGTCGATTGTCACTGCTCAAAAAGACGCCCAATACAATGCACCAGAGACAGCGCCGACACAAGCACCACCCGAGATTAGAGAACCTGAAAAGCTGGCCCTCAATACGTCTGCGCCCGTGTCACAGGCTGGCCATCTATTTCCAATGGAGACTATTGCCGAGGAAGAAGTTAGCAGCCCTGTCGAGCCGTCACCCTCGAATGACGCCCAGGATGATAAGGAAATAACGGCGTCGGAACCGACCGCCATACCTGCTACTCATAATGTGGTCGACGACCTTGCATCTCCCGGTACATCCGATGCGACGGACTCTTTGATCAAGCCTGTTCAGAGCACTGTGTCCATTGCCTCTCCACAGGAACCCTTGGCATCTAGCTCCACCGTCAACGCCCTTGCTCCCTCCCCCGATGGCCTAGAAGAGATCGATGCCCTGTCGGATGATACCCAGGCGCTTCAGCCAGTCATTTCGGAGGTTACCCAGCCTCTGGAGGGACCGGAGACGAGCATTGAGACGAACGCATGCAATGACTCGCCTCCTGATCATCCCGATTCCAAGCATCATTTCTTGCCGCCTGTTCCTCAACAGGCGATCACTTCTGTGCCATCTGTCAGCTTGTGCGAAACCTGTCCGAGCTCACTTGAAGACGTGACACCCCGGGCTTCTTTAGATATTCAGGCTCGCGAGGCAGTCTCAACCGACCCTACCAAGAAGGCTGCAGATGCACCTGCATTGTTGGAGAAGGAAGAGTACGCCGATGTTATGCCGGCGTCGGGGTCTGACGTACTTCGTCATTCTTCGCCCGAAGTGGAATTGCAGACCCCTGCCAGCCCTGGTACACCAACATCGGATGCCGGTAGTGTGATCGTACGTCGACGAACCAGTCCAGTCCAATCGCCTCTCAGCCAACAGGAAAAGCTTTCCGCGGATAAGGAAGCGGCACCGATTGATGCTCACAGCCCTAGTCCCGTGTTTGAAAGCCGCGAGCAACGGCAGCTTATTCCTGTTGAAAGTGAAGTTGCTAGCCCAGTCAGTGTGGCGGCCCAAACCAATTCCGCTGGTAGTCCTGCTGCACAGTCAGGAAGCTGGAAAGACTCTTGTCAATTGGTGCCTGCGAATGCTGTCCTTGGGTCTCCTGTCCGCTCGGCAATCTCTAAAATTGATGAGCAGCCCACAAGTCACTCCACAAGCAATGTGCATGAAGAGTCCCGTGGTGGCAATACGCCCAAAAAGCCTCTGGAGAGTCCTATCAAATTATCAAAGTCTCGACCAGGACGCTTATCCTTGGAAAAGGAAAAAAGAAAATCTCGAGGCCGGCGCACGTCTACTGATTCGTCTTGTTCGGATTATCCATCACTCGTCTCCAGCCCTGAGATTCGCGAGCCCCGTACATCCTCCTCCAATGGAACGCCTCTGCTGCTTGAGACTCCTCCACCCTTCCAGGATGGCTACCAGTCATCCGACCCCGTACCACCTGGGAGCGATCACACGTTGCGAGAAGATCGTCTACTACGGCTGGATAACCAAAAGCCATCCCCACGGGCCAATTTCGCGCATAACCGAAACCTCAGTCTTCCATTGCAGCGTTTCATCAACGAAAGGTTGGAGATGAATTACGATGACGAAAGCGGCAGTGACCTGGATGGCGTCGCTTCCAATAGGAAGTCCACGGACGTGTATGCGGATTTACGACTGGGCCAGAAAAAGGCACTGTTGCCTGCACACATCAGCAAATTCACCATTCCCTCCAATAGCGCTCAGCGCTCAGCAACCCAGCCTTTGGATGCTCCGAGTCAAGGCAGCCCTAGACCGGTCACCAATGGCACCACCGCCAAAGTTCTATCCAAGGCCTGGGAGCACAAGAAGGGCTCCGTTTCGAAGAATGCAAACCGTAGTGGTCTGCAACCGGAACCGCCTGTACACTCAAGCACCAACCGCTTGAGGAGACAGTTGACTTCGCATCCTAGTCTCGAGAGTATTGGGGCGTATAGATCCAACGCCCGGTCTGGCGATGACACGTCTTCAGTTACAGCTATTTCCAGGGCCGGATCTCGGCCATCCACTCCAGGCTCGCAGCTGAGAAGAACCAAAGATCATCTCGACGAGAAAATCAGTTCTATCTTGTCGACCCTTCCTGCTCGGATCCATCTGATGTCAGCTGATGGCCAAGACTTTGATGCAGGGTCTGCGGCGACGTCACTTCCCTTGAAGGCTAGGGAACGATTCCGTTCCATATCACCCCAGGGAACGCCGTCCCGGAGCAGCACGCCCACGCCATCCTTGACCCTGACAGCTGCGCCCTCGCGCAGGAGGTATTCTCACGCTCACGCCCCAGAGGAGAGCTCTGTGAAGCTCTACCACCTGCATCGAGGTGGAAAGTCTGCGCCGACCAAGCTTTTTGTTCGGTCAGTGGGTGAGAAAGGAGAACGCGTTATGGTCCGAGTTGGCGGTGGGTGGGCAGACCTGGCTGAATACCTGAGGGAGTATGCCATCCACCATGGACGCCGGCATGTTTCAGATACCCCTCGTGTCGAAGTCCAGGGTCTGTCCACGCGTACCTCTCCCACGTACTCCGTCAGTGGGCGCCGCACTCCCTCCCGACCGCGGTCTGTCATTGGCAATCGGCCGTCTTCTTCATTGGCTGTGCGCAAGACCAGACGTACTTCGAATGTGTCGGATGTAACCGAGTTCCGGGCGGCGCAGGCAGCTGGCGACTCACTCACTGCCTCGTACTCGCCTATGTCGACTGTCTCATCTCGCAGAAGACTATCGGCCTCCTCCAATGCCTCAATGGGCGCTGCCTCTTCAGCCAGTGAATTCCGTCATGGATCATACTCTCCTTCCACCACTGCCGCAGGTAGCAATTCTCACTCCATCCCACTCGGCCTTGCAGGGCCGAAGCCACGGTCGAGAAATGTCTCGATCAGCCCGGAGAGTGAGGCGTGGGTTGAAGATGTTCTTGGCCAAGCTCGGAGGAGCTCGTCCTTAAGGCCTTACAACTATGGCCTGTCCACCCAGGACCCGGAGCCTGCTTCAACCAAGGCTCCAACCATCCCCAAGTCGAGAAGTATCAGCGACCTGGGAATGGCGGGTGCTAGCAGACGCGTCGCACTACGCGGACTTGCAAAACGATAAACCTACTCACACACCTCTACCCTAATCTTAATCCTTCCAAACGCTCACCCCATCCACACTCTTTCTCTCACACGCTCCGCCCCTCCTCTCACTTGCATTGTCTACTAGTACTGGCGTTTTGCCGTTTTCCTGGGTTTCTCGGTTTGGACACACGGGGTACTAAAAGTGTTAGACAGCTGCATGCATTGTCCGTTTCCATCTGCTTTCGGGTTGCATTATCGGGCGAACTTTTCACTTTCTTTTCTTTCCCTTCCACCTTCTCATAACAAGACATGTGTCATTCTTGTCTTGGCTATGCTATCTTCATCTTTTCCCCACCATTGCATGCATCAGCGGGTTTCATTCTTGTTTTATCATATCTTTTTCTTCTTTTTTTTTTCTTCACCCATTCCTCCCAATTATTGTGGGAGATGATTTTTTTCAACTTCCGGTCCTGGTTGACCGCATTTTCTATTCTACTTTCGTCTGACTCCTGTCTGTCTGTCTGTTGTTCGTGTTTCACTTATTATTATATTTAGCCCTTGATTTGTATGTAGATAGATACCCTTAGGTAGGCTTGGGTCTTTTGTTGTTGATGTTGTCGCTGTTGTTGGTGTCGTCCGTCCGTCCATTCGTCCGTCTGTCCCTCTTGCTGGATAGATAGAAAGACGATCTGGCTGGCCGACTTGTTTGATTACTTACTTAGTACATAGTGAGGGATTTATATTGAATCTGTTGATACTACTACTTCTATTCATGTTCCGTTTAAAGTTGAACCAGTAGATTCTTGATATCAGAGTACCTAGTAAGGAAGTAGAGAAGAGCTCAAGTAGACAGTAGTAGCAGTACGCGAAACAGAAAGGAAAGAAGAAAAGAACGCTACCATACCATACCAGTTGAACCGAACCGAACAAACCCGAACGAAAAAGCAATATCCAGATAATAAGCAGGCATCCGTCAATCATTTCATTACATGATACAAAAAGAGGAGTTATAAAAATGAACGAAAGGTAACAAGCGGGGCATTATTCGTGATTTGGACAATAGACGTCCAAGCTAGTCCAGACTGGAGAGCACGGTAGTATACTGACTCTATGACGACTCTCCCTTTGCAGGTTCTTCCTGCTGCTGCTGCTGCTGCTGCTGCTGTTTCGGAGGCGACTTACGTGCCCATGGGATGTCCTTGTGAAACAGTTCCCTCAGTTCCGGGGAGACGACTTTCGTTTCTCCTTCACTGTCCGGTGCTGAGCTGGGGCCGGCACTGACACCGCTGCTGAAGGCGGTGCTTTGAGGTCGTTGAGGCGATTTGCCTTTGCTGTTTGTACTGGCGGAGGAGTCTTGTGTGGGCTTGCGATGGTGGGCGGCAGGTGCAGGGAAGTTGTTTTTCTTGTCGATGGCTTGGACGGCTCGTTCGAAGCGGTGGAATAGGGATTCGGCACGTGTGAGGATTGGGATGAGTTCCATTGTGTTGGAGAGTTCGTTGACTGCGTGGTGTTCGTGTTAGAAACTTATCTCATAAGGTACTGTGAAAGTGGCCGGTTGGACTTACTGTACTTCAGAACTTCGTCGAACTGCTTCAGGTGGTCCATTATGACATCCCGGTGTTTTTCGAGGATTGCAAGTGCGATGAACAAGTGGAAGCTGCTGGACAGGTAATCGGACCATAGTGTTTCCCAGAGACGTAAGACGTCTGGCCATTCGAATTCGCGCTTGTACCAGACCAGGAGCATCCGGAAGAAGAAGAAAAAGTTCGTGCTGTCGGCGGATTGGAGGTGGAGGTAGAGTTGAGGATCCATAAGTTGAACGAGGTGGTCTAGAGTGAGAAGTTGTACACGCATGCCAGATTGGTCGCGGAGGAAGTTCCGCTCCTGTTTGTACGCATCAGCATGATAAAAAGTAGGATTGACTGCCATCTCGAACTTACCATCCTGTCCATGAAACCAACGAAAGCCCAGAATGCGACTGCATCATCCTGCATGACAGCATAAATCGGGGCTAGAAGATCACTCATGCCTTGCACATAGCCCAGGTCCGGGTTGTATTCGTTGTATGTGAGCAACATATCCTTCATCTGCTCGAGATGCACATTTGTGCCAGTATCCGCAAAAGGCGAATCTGGGTCCGGGTGGGGAATGTCTTCTCCAGCAAACAGGGGTATCGTACGGTCTGTGCGATGAACATCCTTTTCTGCGCGCCTATGTAAGTAAATGCGCGTGATACTTGGGCTGCAGAAGAACTCACCTATTCTATTTCTCTGCTCTTTCCACCAATCAAACTCTTCCGCCGAAGAAGTGCCTTCAATCATCCGTTCCCACCAGGCGCCTTTAAGCCGGATGTACTCATCCCGCTTCGAGTTCATCAACGCTTGTCGCTCCTCGTGGCTGCTATCCCACGGATATACGCCTAGAAGGTAGAGCCATGCTTCTTTCCTAACACCATCATTTGGATCTAATCCACCATGGAATATCCTTTCCTTAACTTCGTCAACGGTTACATGCAGTCTTCCAGTAGTCGGGTCAAAGAAGCCCTCCCATTCTTTCAGAGTGAGTGTCTTCCGACGGTCCTGGATGGACATGGTACCTGTCTCGAGGTCAAGGATCTCGAAATCTCCAACAGAACTGTTCTCCATGCTAAGGACATCTTGGGCAGTGTATATCCGTTGGTTTCTTTCGCGTTCACTTTGCTCTGATATGTTCATGGCCCACCGTGCCAAGTATAGCCTGGCGCTATCGAACTCGTCCTGTAAAGTCTGAATCTCAGGTGTCCTCATCAGACGGCGGACTTGTGGGGGTATCCGAGGGTTGTCAGCTAACTCATTAGCTGTACGTCTTGTGAAGGTTGTGATCTTGCTCAGCTGCTCGAGGACCTTCCACCTCGTCTCCTTGAGTGCTTTCACAAAGGGGTCCATCCCCGCATCGCGTTGGCCGCTTCCACTCGCCTGAGCAACGGCAGCCGGCTCATCTTGAGCTTTGACAGTCGAGCCATCTGCGGTTAGAGGTCGTCCAAATGATATGCGGTCTTCATCCGACGGGTTGATCAGATATACACTATTATCCACGGCCGAGCGCTGGACCTCAGCATATTTTCGAAGCCATCGCAGAACCTCATCCCCGCCCCAGAAGACATTTCCGTCCTCACCAAAGGGGTCAAAACTCTCCCTGGTTCGCTTTTTCTTCTGCAGGATTGTGGACTCGCACTCCGTGTCATGGAAGAACAGCGCGGGGAAGCTGTCGCCTGCGCGGGTGTTGATCACAAGACTCCCAAACCACCAGCCTAGACTTGGAGGTCGCACAAGGAGGGAATATATTTCGGACAGAGGAACCGCAAATGCGTAGAGCCCTATCGGGTCCTTGTAGGTCGTTGTCGTCGGAAGAGCGGGCACCAGGTATTTCTGTCGCGGAGGGGAAGAACCGTCGGATAGATCGACTTTGACATAGGTACTGTATGCATCACCCAGGGAGGATTCGGGCACCCAAGCTAGCAGGTAGGAAGAGAGGTCTGATGAGGGGTTTCCGGAAGTGGTCTCTCTAAGAGGGGGGAGGGGCTTTTGTTGGACGAGGGCAATAAATCCGGGGATGTTATCTTTCGAGGAAGGAGTTGGATGGACGTAGACCTGCAATGCTCGGAACCGAATGGATCAGCGAGATGTTCATTTTGCTAGCTTGTAGATAAGCCTACCTTGCTCTTGGAAAATAAGAGCTTGACTCCTCTGCGTGAGGTGGAATGAGAAATGGTGTTGTATTCATCCTCCTCATCGTCACTGACGTCGTAGTACGACGCCGTCGGGGAGGGCGGCGAAGGAGGAGGGGTGTATTGGATTCCGTTGCCTGCCATATCGAAGGGAGGAAGCGGAGAGGTGACTTTTTCAAGGGATTAAAGTGATTAGGTCCTGATCATAATGCGAACTGAAAGTGAAACTAGATTTCCCTGAAGCTGGTCTGGAATGCCCGGAAAGTCAGCGCCGGTCGGCAAAGTGATGATTGCGGAGAAGAAAGCAAGTCACGACCGCCGGTCACGACGTAATCGCGGGGTCCACCGCTTCCATGTGATCGCCTTCATTTTATCGAACCACCCTCTAGAAAAAAATCCAACTTACCTTGCAAATGGTTTGTATTGCACAGGATATAAATCAGTCTGCTTGGAATACGGTGCTGGATTGAATTTGTAGGTCAACAGTACCTTGCTACTGAGCACCTCCATTGTTGCCACCGATAAAATCGATGACTGAATCGCCCAGGCAGCAGCGAAACCATCATATCTTTGATAATCCGCTATCAAATCAATCAATAGCAAAAGAATTCTGTTGCCCACGCAGTATTCCTTCAGTTGGCCCTACTACTCTGGACTGACGAAGCTTGCATCGAGGAGGTTAGAATTGGCCATTAATAGCAAACATGCACGTTATCCAGAGTGATGCACTGAACTAGACGGGTACCTCCCAACTACAAGACGAATTTGTGCTTGATATCGTAGTAACTACTCACAGTTGGCAAGCTGGGAGACTAGCAGGTTCAATCAGCGCAGGCACTGTGGAATAGTCATGTATCATTATCAGGATATGAGAAGCGTTATCGTCTTATGTTGAGCAACGGGCGTGGCAATAGAGGATAACATACCACACATCATCAGCGAATGCTTCTGTTTACTAACCCTCCACTGAGTAGAGGTAGCACTTTAGTAGATTTAGGTGTTTTGATATCAGCATACCTTGTGGCATACTGATATAATATGAAGTTTCAAAAAGTCCTCGGATTGGGCGTTTATCAATACGTCTGGTACCATTAAGTTGATAGCCCTGATTAGTCCTAAAACTTTACACTCAAAAGTACCCTCTTAGCTTGATTATGCCAAACCCCCCGAACTGTTATCGGCTTCACTCCCTTGCCTCCAGTCATCTTAACCAGAGAATGACCGAACTAATGCGGACAATCATACCTACGTGTCTGGCTGACAGGACTGCAACCTTACGTCTGGAGCGGTTTCATCTGACCTGCCGGCCTTCAGTCATTCGCCGGTACAAAGGACCACGCTTATACTATCATCGCTACTAATGCACGGGATTTTATACCCTCTTCAGGAAATGATTCGCTATCCAATAGATAATGGTTTCATGTACTTGAGGATGACAGAGTTTCATTGCCTTTGGACACCGGCATCCATAAATACTAGACGGCTGCTTCATGCAGTCTGTACTCAAGCTGCGTCGACTGCAAATCCCTACTCGCAGCAATGTCCGAACTTATGCGCACTCTGCCGGCCTCCTGGTATTGCAGCCCGCCTCTCTATCAGCTTGAAAGAAGGGCTGTATTCTTAAAAGTATGGTTAAAGCCTATCGTCGAGGATATTGGAACACTGATAAGCTTCCCAGTCATGGTATCTTGTCGGTCCCGTCACTAGATTCTGTGATATAGGTGCCAAGGTTGAGTATGAGATAGCTCAACAGCCTATATATGTTGTCCGGTGCTCGGGGGAGGGTCCGTTTCCCGGACAGGACGAGATCCAAGTAATCTGCGTGAAAACTGTAGGTCAGCTCAGCATCATCTCAGACATCAGACTAAGGATGCGTTCCAGCCCCCAAGCAATATGTCTATCGAGCTTCTTGTTGCTAAATAGAATTCAGGAACGACCTCTAAAGCACCACGTCACGCCAACCGGCCTCGTTTTCGGTACTCTATCAGACGAGGCGCCCAGCTTCCATGAGTATTTCCCGGACTTGGAGCCACTGCTCCAACGGGTGAACTTTACCAAGCTCCCGTACAGACACGGCATCAAATACGAGGGACGATTTAACTGGAAGACTATGTATTTGATACCTTTGCCTCGTATTCGGGAAGTGATCATGTCTCCCTAACCTGGCTTCCATGACAGGGTCGATGGCTACCAGGAATGCCTGCATTGCCAATATACCCACCCGTCATTCTCCGTATACTACCCGCCAACCTCGTACGCGGTGCACAATCATCAGAATTTTTCGCAGCATATCGCAGATCCGGAAAAGCCGGATGATGGTCTATTCCTTTACTTCTTCCCCAACTGCACTCTGAATGTCTATGGTGGAGGAATGTCCTCGTTCCGAGTGTGCCCAACAGATGACCCGAATGTGACGAGGATGGAGTTTGACTACTACCATATGGAGTCGGGCGAGAAGTTCGACGAGTACTTCAAATTTGTGCGGCAAGTGGCCATGGAGGACTATGAATTGTGTGAGAAGGCTCAGAACAATCTCACTAAAGGCATCTATAGCGAAGGCATCCTCAACCCGGAGAAAGAGAGCGGAGTTTCATGTGAGTTACATGAGACCACCTATATGCCCAGATTACAGTAAGCTAATCAGACAGCAGATTATCAAGACCGGGTCTTCGAGCTCGTGTGTCAGCAGCACGCAGCAGAGAGACGAGAAAGGGAAATGGAAGGTGCAACAGATGATACTCAGAAGAGGGGTCTGCAACGTATCACAACAGCTGCATAATACAAAGCTGTGTAAGCCGTGATTTCGGGACTCGGTAACATGATCAATCTTATCAGTGGCGTTGATTTCAGTGTTCTGCACGGGTTGGCTCCTGTAATAGTCCCTGTAAATGATTCTTATCTATCGAGGTGTGGCATCAGATAAACCCTTGGCCAGGATCGGCCCAGCACATACTTTAAGCGTCATTCATGCGCAAGTTACTGGAAAAGAGCACCATATCTGGAAGGTCAATACTATCCTGGAGTAGATATAGTTACTTAAGTGCATGGTCACCTGAAGACTTCCTCTCCTCTAACTGGACGGGGAGGCGGGAGTCATGCAGAACCTGTGGAGGTGACAGGGTCAGTGCTCTGTTCCTGATACTGCTTGATTGAAACTCCGGGATGCCTTTTCGTGCGATAGTAAGCGCATAAAACCAATGGATTCCCTGTAGAAAGGTATGGCGGACAGCACAGTTTCATCATGGCTATAGAAGAACCGTATCCGGCTCTGCCTCCCGCCTTATCGGCCCTGGTCTTGGTTTCAGTGCTAGCGGGGCTGGCTTTTCTCCTTCAATCTTTATCAAGTCCCATCTTCCGAGGCTATAAGTCCCTGCGTGTAGCTAAGCCGACGGAAACCGAGCTGGATCCTGTCCCCGAAGGTAACGAAAACATCGTCTGCAAGGAATCGGATTTCCCACAAAACTGGTGGACTGGCTCAGAAGTCTTTGATCTAGAAAGACGGGCAATCTTTAGTAAAGTACTATGCACCACATATCTTTACATATGAAAACATGAAATCAAACATGGTACTCACATAAAACCAATCAGGGATGGCTCTACCTAGCCCACCGTAATCGGTTCACCAAACCCGGCGATTACCATTCCTATGAAGTGGCAGGTATCCCAATTTTCCTGGTACTGGGGAAAGATGGCATCGTGCGAGCGTTCCATAACGTCTGCCGCCATCGAGCATACACAGTCACGAGGAAGGAGTGTGGCTCCTCTATGATTCTCGGATGTCGATATCATGGCTGGAGCTATAACTCCAAGGGACAGCTCATAAAGGCACCTCACTTTGACAATGTTCCCGGATTTGACAAGGCCCAGAATAGTTTGTTTTCGATTCATATTACAACCACACCTGCGGGCTTTATATTCGTGAATATGGATGCATCTCCGAAGATGATGCCATTGCAGACAAGATCTCTTGATTCCTTTGCGGGCCGGCATGGCATCGGACAACAGTCTACGTGGCTGGGAGGACAGACAGTGGAAGGGCAGTTTAATTGGAAGATTGCTTGTGAGTTTCTCTTTATCTTCTTTCTGTCAAAAGACGATAGGTATCTAATTTGTGAAACAAGTGAGATTACAGAGATTTATCGATCACACGGAACTGGAGACTGAGTTCTCGCAGCCAAGGTATAAAGCGCTGTTATTGAGCTTGTTCAATTCATCACGAATGTGCTCGGAAGATGTTAGAGTCTTCCCTTTTACTACGATTAATACCGTCCGCGGAGGGGTACTTTGGTATTCCTTGAGCTTCATTCCCATATCTGAGAGCAGGACCGCGGTCCGGATTGACTTATACACTCATAAAGACATGGGTAGTCCTGCGCCTGCACCAACAGCAGAAACACTCTTCAGCAAATTGTCGAACAGTATCCGAGAATTGGAAACTCAGTTCGAGTCACTTTCTGGAACACCAACGTACGTTCACAAACGCGAAAATTAAATGGAGAACTAAGAAGCAATCACATCTCTAGGCTTCCCACCTATATCACATCAGCATCAAACCCAGCTTGCACAGGTGAGTTCCAACCCAACCCAGTCCCTCACTCAAGCATCAGTCTTACCAACACCGTACCAGATACACAACGCGAAATCCTCGAGGCCATCAAATCCCACGCCAAATTAGAAAAACAACTAGGAACCGAGATCTTCCCCGCTACGAGGATACCTAGAACCAACGCACGATTCGAGCAGGCTGAACAGAGTTAGTTGAAGTCCCTTCCATATCATATTTTTCTGTGTCGCTAATCTGGAAAACTATAGTCTGCAAAGACCTAGATTGCCAAGACACGTGGAACAGCAAGAGTCTCGCTTGGTGAGAATACATAGCACAGGTATGAACAGGATGAGGTAATATTGTTGCTATTGTGGTTCTGGTGACTGTATGACTCAGTCGAATCAAGTTATTTAGTCAAGTAGTTAAGTAATGGTTTCAATGAAATTTCATGCAAAACAATGTTATGGATTGATTCAAGGGATAACATCTAATTAGTCTAACACAGCGGTTTCAGACTGGGCGGGGAGGGGGACAACTTCATTTCATCGTTACTGGCAGAACGAAAACAACAAATAATCACAATCTTGGGAATGATGAACGCAAGGGGAAAATTGGACAGTTAGTAGTATAAGTGATGCGAGTAAAACATAAGGCTGGATGGAACTGCTTACTATTCATGACAGAAGAGTAAGTAGAAAGCTAGCTACGCATGTACATTCCTGGCTCGTACCAAAGGTCAATGTGTGGATCCCCACCCACCATCGCCTGTCCCCATGAAGACGCAAGAATTGGCGCCGGGCAGAGTTAAGTATTGACTAGCATTGGCTTAGCAGCACAACTCCTTTCTCTCTCTGTCCAGAAGATTAATCAATCCCTCCCCTTCATATATATTATCTCTAGTCTTTAATAATCTAATCAAGAAAATACTGATCAAGAAAAAAAATATATAATCTATTTAAAACAGCATTTTAACACCAACTGTAAAGAGAAAACATAATTATTAAAATTTATTAATACTGTGGAAGCCGTTCAAATAGTCAAATTTGGTGCTATATAACAAGAATTTCTAGTATAAGAAAAGAAAGAAAGAAGCTCAGGGAGAACATGTAATTATATAAAAATAAATAAATTATATAAAAAGATAAATAAAATAAATAAAATAGAAATCACATAATTCTAAGATATTACTTATTATTATATTATTCTTTTATTTAGATCTGGCTATCCTCAGCCAGAGATAAGTTATTTTTCTTATATTTTAATATAAATTTATCAGTCTCTGTAATTATTAATTATTATAAAAAATATTTAAATAATCCAGAATAGATAAAATATTTTATATAATAATTTTAAAGATAAAAGAGAATATTCTTAAAATTTCTTATAAAATACTAAATATAATCAGCTATATTAAATACTAGTTATTTAATTTTATACTAAAAATAATTATATTACAGACAGCTAGTTAAAATATTTTTAATCTTTTATTTTATTTAATTATTAATTTTAATAGATATAGTAGTATCTTAAATTTATTTTAATAATAAATTAAATATATTATATAAGTAGAGCTTCTCAAGATAGAAAATAAGATATATATATATATTTTAAAAAAAATAAATTTTATATATATTACTAATCTTATTAATAATAGATATAGGACTATATTAATTTTCTAATAATTTTTATAAAAACTAGTCCTATCTTTAATTACAAGTATTAATAAAAACTTTATTATTAATATTAAAATTAATAAAGTAATAGGATTAATTAATTTATTATATTTATTAATTTTATATATTCTGGATTTTATCTTATGCAAAGATCTAGATTTATTTTATATAATAAGTAAACTTACAGGCTTAGTCTTAAGTAATAATATATAATAATAGATTTACTAGAAAAGTCTAGTTAAATAATATATAGAATTTATATTTTTTTTTAATTATAAATAAAGATAATCTAGTAGATTTATAAAATAAAATTATAGTAATAAAATTAATAAATAATAATAATTTTAATTAATTATTTTAAAAATAATTAATAAATAGAATAAGTTACTAGACTATATATTAATTAATAATTTTTATTTATTTATTAGTTTATAAATAATATATTATTAAAAATTTTAATTTAATCTATAGAATTCAGTATAGTTTATCTTAAAAATCAGTTATAAATTAATTTTTTTAATTAAAAATAATAATATCAGGGGGTCCTGTTTAAATATAAATATAATTAATAAATAAATAAATTATATTTTATATAAAAATCTACTTTGTACAGAAAATGAATATTATATATTTATTAAAATAATTTATTATTATAAAAATAGTATTAAATTTATAATAATTTTTTTAAAAAAAATAGAAATTTATAGATATATACTACTATAGTTAATTAGAAATTAAAAGAGATTAGAATAATCTAGATAATAAGTCTTAATATATATTTTTTTTTATAAATTAAATAATTATTTATATAATATTAGATATTTCTGTTCCAAGTACTCCAGAAATATTAATATTTAATTAATATTATTATTTTTATTTATTCAGAATAAATTAATAATAATTATTAATAAATCTCATCCAGTAACTAGATTTATAAATTATTTTTATTAAAAATTATTAGTCTGTTTTAATATAAAAATAACTTATTTTATAAAAAATAATTAATTTTTTATTAATAGACTTACTTCCAGAAATTTTTTAAAAAAAGATAAATACAGTTTACTTTTAAAATATAATTTATAATATAAAGATTTTGCTCTACAGGAGTTACTAATATTAAATTAAAAATTATATTAAATTTTAAAAATTCAGATTTTAATAATACTTAATAATAATAATTATTAGTTATTTCTAAATTAATCTTCTTTTATATAAGATAATTAATTAGTATATTATTCTTTTTTAATTAATATTTAATAATAAAATAATATTAAAATAATATTTTTGCTTAGCAGGCCTACCAGATATTAAGTTTTTTTATAATTATAAAATATTCTAAGACTTAATAATTTATAAAAATTATAAATTTTTTTAATTATTATAGATTCTCTAGTTCTGCTTTTTATTCTGTAAAAATATATATAATAATTAATATTTTTTTATTATAAATATTATAATTATACTCAGACAGAAATATAGTCTTTAAATAATAAATTATAAAATATTATATATTCTTAATCTATTAATATAAAATTTTTATAATTATTTTATCAGCTATATTAGTTTCAATATATATAAATCTAGATAAATTATAATAGATTAATATAAGAGCTAATATCAGAATTTATTTTAAAATTTAGAAAATTTTCTTATAAAATTAATTCTAGAAAAATAAGATATTTTTCTAAATAAATTAATTTATAAATTTAATAATCCAGCTGTAATTTCTTATAAAATATTAATAAAAATTATAAAATTTAAAAAATAATTAGATTTCTTTAATAATAATCAGATATTATTATTTTATAATTATAATAATTTTTATAGGATCAACTTGAATACCTGTAATAATAATAATAAAATCTAGAAATCTAGTTTTTATTATATAGAATTTATATTTATAAATTACTACTTAGAATCCAGCTATCTGAAAATACTTAAAGATTTAATAAATATAAAACTTATACTCTGTCTTATTTTCACTGAAAATTAATATATTATTTATATATATTATAATAAACTTATCTAAAAAATCCATGAAAATCTTATTAATAAAATACTAGAAAATTATTAGTTTATTTATAAATCTAAATAATAATATTTAATATTTGAAGATTTTATAACAGGTTTAAAAAATAATTAAATTTTTAAATTCAGAATTTATATAAATACAGTAGAAATCTTAATAAATATTAAATTTTATAAATATTTTTATATTCTAGAAATAATTTATTATCTTATTAATTAAAAAAATAGAATAAAGATTCTTACAGGTTAAAATATTAAATTTTTAATAATTAATATATAAATATAGTTTTTCTTTAAATTTTTTTATTATTAAAATAAAAAAGATAAACAGAGCTGTATTAAATATAATAAATTTTTTTTTAAATTTTTAATAATATAATTATAGGCAGCTTTAAGTTCTTCTAAAATTATTTTATAAAAAAAGACTATTTCTAATAGATTATTTTTTTTTAATTAAATATAATAATTATAGAGTCAGAAAATAGACAAAATATTAAATTTTTTTTAAAGAAGATATTTACTAAATTATAATAATATTTAAAAAAAGTCTGCTTTATCTTTTCTTTCTTAATTAATTTAAATATTTTATTATAAAAATCTATTTTCTCTGTAATAGCTTTCTTAATTATATTTAGAAATATAATAAATATTTTTAATTTAAAATTCTAAAAATATTTATGGAAGGCGGCAGTTCTAATAAAAATTATTTTAATTTTTTTAAAAATATTTTTTTTCTAGAGACTTTGGGAGATTCTAGAAATTTAATATTAAAAATTTTAATTTACTAGATTTTAGTATATTTTAATTAAGATCTTTTAAAAAATACTTTAATAGATTTAAAATACTTTAAACTCTGCTTTAAAAAAGAATATTTATAATAAAATATTAATTATTCTTTAAAAATTATAGTCTTATCAGATAATATTTTACTAATAATTTTAATTAATTAAATATTATAATAAGATATCTTAGAAAATTTATTATAATAATCCAGCCTTGACTTTATCTTGTAAAAAAAAATAATTAAATTATATTAATTTATTTTATTAATAATTTAATAAGATTTCTTATTTTATAAATTATATTTATTTTAGAATAATATTATGGCAGTCTAGTTTAAATATTAAAAATAATATATTATAAAATTAGTATTTATTAACTATAAATATAAATTAGATAATATAAATTAAAGATATTATAGTCTTATTATTAAAGTCTATAATAATATAATTAATTTTAAAAAAAATAATATTAATTCAGAATTAGTAAATTATCTAAATAATAAAGATAATATTTATATAAATATAAATATTAATTCTAGTATTAGTAAGAATATATATAGATACTACTAGTCTATTATTTAATATTAGAATCTTAATAATAAAGTTTTTATTCTCTTAGTCTAGCAGATCTTATAAATCTAATAAATTAATATTAATATTTATTTTATCTAGAAAAAAAATTTCTTTTAAATATTATTTTTTATTAAATAATTATTTTTTATTATTTTTAACAGCTTAACTTAACCTGTTTTTTTTTTTAAATAATTTTAAATTAAATATTTTTGTTTCTAGCAGATAAAGTAATATTTTTTAATTATTATATAAATATATTTTTCTAATTTTATACTAGTAGTATAACTGATATTATAAAAAATCTTAGCTGGGACTAAGAAGATTATAATTATAATAATAATAATAATTAATATAAATAGCTAGTAACTCAGAATATTTATCTTATTATAATATTTTATTATATTATTAATTAAATCTGATAATTAAGTATATTTTTTAATATATTATTTAAATATTATATTATTATTATTAAAGCAGGATATTATCAGCTTCTGTAATTTAAATAAAAAGTACTAATAAAAATCTTTTTTTTAATAAATTTTAATAATATCTGCTTTTACAGCAAGATAATAAAATATAAATATAAAATTATAAAATTTATTATTAATTATTATTCTAAACTCCTGATACTATTAGTATATATTATAAGACTTATTTAAATTAATATAGATAATTTTCAGATATTTAAGTATGTTAGTTATATTTATATAAAAGTTTAAAATATTAGAACAGAATTAGAAAACTAGATATTTTTTATATTATTTTTATAATAATTAATTTATTAATTATATAAGTTTATTAGATAATAATTATATTTAAATAATTTATATTAGCTTCCAGCTTCTGCTATATTATAAGAAATTAATTTTTAAAATTAATAATCTTATTATTACTGAATAAAAATAAATTAAAAATCTTTATTAATTTTTTAGATTTAGAAATCTCAGCTGTTCAGTTATTTTAATTATTAAATTAAAAAAACTAAATAATATATAGATTATATTTATATATTAATTTATTATAATTATTATTAAATTTATTTTACTAGCAGACAGTCTCATATATCTTTATTTCTATTTTTTTTATAATATAAAATATTATATTAAAGATTTTATTAGGGTTCTTTACATACAGCTTATAGAATTAATTATAAATAATATTTTTCTAATTATTAAGCTCTTCTTCTAGTAAAATTATTAAATATTATTAAAAATTTACAGTACTCAGTACTAATTTAATATAATTTTCTTTAGTTATTATAAGTATTCTTACTAATTATTCTAGTTTAAGTCTTAGTTAGATTATTTTATTTTAACTATATTTAATATTACTAAATATATATAAGAAGTGATACCAGCTGCTGAACTAGATAGCTAGTAATATATAATATTAATTTAAAAAATAAAAGATAAAATAATACTAGAAATTATATGGAAGTTGTTTAAATAATTAAATTTAATATTATATAATAAGAATTTCTAGCATAAGAAAAGAAAAGAAGAAGCTTAGAAAAAATATATAATTATATAAAAATAAACAAGCCATGCGAGAAGGCAAACAAAGCAAATAAAACAGAAGTCATGTGACCCTGAGACATCACTCGCCGTCACAAATACTATAAAACAGTTATCTCTTCTCAAGAAAAAAAAAACTATAATTTTATAATAATAAATACTACTGGCTGGTATCTCATTTTTAAAGTAAAATATTATTTATATATACTCTCAGCCACTACTACCAGAAAAAGCTAATAATTTAATTATAAAAAAAATAAAATAAAAAATTAATAATAATTTATCCAGTTCTCTTTTTCCTCAAATTAGTTTCTTTTAATATTATTTTATTATAGTTAATAATTTCTTATAGTTTATTTAATTTATCTTATTTCTTGCCGTGGCTTGGCCTATAAATAATTTCTATTATATTATTAATAAATAAATATCTCCCACTCAGGAACAGGAAGTCTATATATAATTATTAAATAATTTATTTAATAATAGTATTTATATATATAATTTAACACAGATAAATACTGGTTATAGAATTTTTTAGAATTAGTTAAGGACTAGTCAAGGACAAGACTTCTAAAAAAAATACATAGGGGCCCGAGGGGGTGCGTGAAGAGGCTTATATAATAATAAATCATGGTTGGTAAAAGTTATCTAGAGTTATAAAAAAGTTATTAAAAGTTATTAAAAGTTATTAAAAGTTATTAAAAGTTATTAATCATTAAATAAAAGAGTCATGTAATTACCCGGATTTAGTAAGGTTTTTTAGGTTATTTACTATTATTTAAGAAATAAATATTAATGTCAATACCTTTATATATAAGTTTAAAATTATTTTATACTTATGTTGTATATCGCGGGAAGATTATAAAGTTATATATAATTATATATATATTTTATAACTATTATATTACATGGTATGTAATTACCCGGTATTTGAAATATTTATTTAATTATTTATTATTATTTATATATTTATTTTCTTTTATAAAGATAATTAATTATTAATAACTTTTTCATAATCTTTAATAACTTTGAAAGACTATGATATACTATTTATAATTGGCTACAGCCTCCCAACAACTTCCGCCAGCGGCCTACTATGTATATTATATATATAAAAATAAGAAAAAAAAATTATTTAATAATATTTTTAATACAGGATTAATCACAAACTAATCTTTATTCATTATTTAATATTTTTATTAAAAAAGAGTTATGCTTAGCCTTTTTATATTTTTAAATTATATTTTATTTAATTTATTTATTTTTTTATAAATATTTTATATTCACTATTTTAATTAAGATAATTAAATAATAATTATATTATTATTTATTAATATTATATATACTAATTGGTGCTACCTGTGCAAATGATGAATGAATATTGTATTATATTTTCTTAGTCCTCTCTTGTTACTCTAAACTATTAACAGGGAGATTGGCCTTCCTCACAAGACAGCCGCTGGTGGCAGAACCACGTTGAGCAGCGGAACCTAGCAGGTTCGCCCAAGTTTTTGGTGGCCAGCACCAACAACTTCCCCCTCGTCGGAAACAAAAGAAAGGACAGGATTCATGTAGTTGGTCCGTCGATGACCGTTCGCCTAGGTAGGGCGGCTTTCGACACGGTCCAGCCGTTCGCTCAGTTCGGCAAAGCGTGCATTAATGGTTTCGAGCAGGCCTAGGAGTCGCGTGGCCGTGTTGTCCTGGACGGGCTGTTGTGGTTCAACGTCAACGACATCAGCGGGTGCTTGGGCAGTGGTGATGTTAGTGGTAGGGTGTAGCTCGATAGTAGCGCTGTGTCCAGTGGTCGAGTCTCCCCCGGTGGTGTCTGCATGGCACTGGGCGATCTGTTGTGAACGACGTGTAACACGGACTGCGGCAGGCGCCTTGTATCCGTGTTATCCGTCGCTCGGGTCGGTGGTATATTCTGTGAGGGGATCAGTATCTTTGACAGCAGGTTCAACCTCGATGTGTGGCGCAGTAGATTTAGTAACAAGCGGTTCAATAATTGGTTCAGTGGCAGGTCCAACAACTGGTTCTGTAGTAGATTAAGTAGTAACGAGCGGTTCAACAATTAGTTCAGTAGCAGGTCCAATAACTGCTTCTGTAGTAGATTAAGTGGTAAGTAATTCAATAGCAAGTAGCTTGATGGTTGGTTCCTCATCCTCGGAGTAATTGATCAAATCTGAGAATGCAGTTTTGGACACCTCACACATAGGGATGAAGTCTTGGATTAAGATAGTAGGGTCCGGTGACAAGAACTAATCTAGTAGAGTAGCTTGTCCAGTAGCAGTGTTGGTTACGGTAAAACTTACAGCAGAGTATCTGATGAGATATTGAAAGAGAGGGCTGTTGTTCGCGGACAGAGGATTGTTGCTTGATAGATGGGACGGTGTGGCTGATGGGAGTATCGGACTGAGGTCAGAGGGAGAGCCATCAGGGCCAACCGACGGATGAGTCGACGTGAGGATCGGACTGAGGTCGCGGGATGGTGAACGATCGGTGCCAACTGACCGACGAGTTGCGGGGCGAGTGGACGTGGCATGGCGGAGCGGTTTGTTTTTGTGAGCGTCGTCGGTTTCAATTGACTGACGAACCGTAGGCTTGGTAAGGGGCCGGCGTGGTTCGTCCTTATTGGTCTTGTTAGTGTCGTCATTAATAGTGTTATTTTCGTTGTCCGCGTCCGCATTGTTTTCAGAGATGGGAATGCCATCCTAAATTATAAATTATAACTCTGTATTGATTTTCATGATAATAACTCTTACTTTATTAATCTTAAAAAATAGTATAATTGCCATTAGTCCCTCACGTCATATATAGTTTAAGGATTAAAGAGAATAGCTATTATATATAATTCCTAAATACTAACATAAGTAGTTCTGTACATCATACTTAGTATTTATTATAACAGCTATAAATATATCTTTATCAACAGTCCCCAGCTTGTGGATCAGATTAAACTCTTATATAATTTATTTATATTAAAAATTACATATCAAATCTTCTGTATAAGTTTAAATATTAAATAAGTAGATAAAATAGATAACAAAACTCTTTTTAATAAGCTGGAGCTTTACTTCTCTACTTATATACTTTACTATTAATTAAATTATTAATTCAGTAATTATTTATCTATCAGCTGTAGCGAATTTCCACAGACTATTACTTATCTCAGGCTTTAGATAGACAGGCTCAAAGACTTATATAATAATAACACCTGTATTTATTGATATCTTTAGAAGCAGGTCTATTATCCATCTAACTTAAATAGATTTATCTTTTATTTCTACTTTTTTAGATATTTTTAAAGTAACTGGCTTAATATTCCAGAACTGGTTTTATATATATATATACTAATCTGCTTATATATAAACCAGTATATACAGAAAATAGAAAATCTTATCCTTCTTAATATTATAATTTATTATATCTGGTTTATCCAGTATTAGTTCAGGTATAGACTTGCAATAATATTTAGAATCTAAAAGAAAAAATATATCTGTATATTAACAGCCATAATATCTTATCTTTATTAAAGTATCTATATTCTTTATTTTTAATATTTTATAAATTATACAGAATACCAAGATATCTACTCTATATTTTTTCTTAAATTATCAGACTACTATTCAAAGCTCTTGTAGAGTATTATAGTAGTATTTATATAATATATAATAAAGACTACTGATATACTATTTAAGAGCTTAAATATATATAACAAGATTCAAAGTGTCACTTAATATATTATTTAATATGATTTTCTTAGCTTCCTATTCAGAGATATTAGCATTGATATTTATAAGCATAGTATCAAAAAAACAGCGTAACGATTATAAGGCAGTGAGGTATTGAGTAGTAAGAAGATCATATTATAGATCAATAAAGTTATCAGGCAAGGAGTCAAGGTAGGTATAGTCGTCGCTCATTGAGAGTATGGGTTCAGGCAGTATGGCTTCAGTGGAGAGGGGAAGGTTCACGTAGACGATGAGGTCGTCGGGTGTGGCAGTGTTAAGGACGAAGTAAAAGAAACTCAGGAAGTAAAAGGAATGTAGAAACGCGTCGGTAGGAGTGGTGGAGGCAGGTAGGCGACGGAGATGAGGTGTGTGGGGTAGATCAAGGTGAGGCATGTGAGGTATTTGAGGTAGGTAAGGTGAGCTGGGATTGAGGTGCGTTGGGCGATGGGGAGTGTTAGGGAGGTTGTCAGTGAATGGCCTACTGCCTACGGTCTCGTAGGCGACGCTTCGGCCGAAAGGGATGCTTTTAGTCAAAGTCGCGAACTAGGTCCATTGCGTCGTGAAGTTGGTCCAAAGGATACTACTGGTTGTGCTGGTCATCATAGCCTTTCCACTTAACAAGATAGAGGTGTTTTTCTTGACCTGCTTTTATTATGGTGGTTTTTCTATCAAGCAGCGCTTCAATTTTGTACAACTTAAACTCATCTGTGTCGCCTTCAACATAGACTAGTCCTGGTTTCTCCACTTTTCTGTTAAATGGGTCAACCCCGGGATAGGCTTCAAGATGAGCTACTGAGATGACGGGGTGTAGTTTCCAGTCTGATGGGAAATCAAGTTTGTATGCCAGTCGCCCGATCCGCTCAACAATCTTGAATGGTCCGGCGCACTGGTTGCTCAACACCAGCTGAGAGCTTCGCCACGGAAGCACGTGTCAATATTCTGAATGATCTTCCGGGGGTCCTTTGTGATTGCCAATTGCTGCAGACGTTTGACAAACGCGTAGCCCGATCTATACCAGACCTTGTCGTCCTTGTCAATGATGTCTCCATGTCCCCAGTTTGCGGGCATGTTGGGATAGAAATAGCCAACGTCGGCTGCGCGCCAATGGTTGGACCTTTGGCCGTCATTGTGTCTGTTACCATTGCCCTCGCCATTCCCGTTATTGTAACCATAACCATACCAATTAGGATATCCATTATCCTGATAACCATTGATCTGGTGTGGTTCACAAGGGCGAGCTTGATATTGATCGTAAGGGCGGGGTGCCGGATATTGGTGAGGTTGGTAGGGTTGGTAGGGTGGTACGTAACGAGGTGCAACGTAGGCGTTCTCTGGTTGTTTACGGGGATCAGGCATAGCGTCAGGTCTGGCCATCGGTTCAGGTGGTGGATGTGGTTGTCTCTGCACGCGAGCCAGGGCGTCAGTGACTGCTCTAGCCATTATCTGCTCTAGATACTGGGTCTGAGCTGGTGTAAAACCTCCTTGTTCATGATCAGGGGCCTGTCTTTGTATGGGAGACGGGTTTGGTGGAGGGTTATTCTGGTTTTACTATGGGAGTTGTGGAGCAGCTGGTGCTTAGATTTCTGCTACATCAGCAAGAGCTGTGATATGAGTATTTAGATGGTTATCGCCCATGGTCAAATGATCAAAGTCAAATGAGAGATTTGAAATTAATATTAATAAGGTAGACTCTGTTGATAACTCTTCGGTGGGACAGTAAGATTGGAAGGATGTTCTGATCTGTTATTAAGTAGGGTCTGATGGTTCGGCCAGATCACCTTATTCAACGGTATTTTCTGGTTTAACGGAGTTGTCTGGTCGAACGAGGTTTTGGGGTCAGACGGTGTTCAGGCTCTGATGTTGCTGGTTCTCTTGTAGTCTTTCTTAAAGAGATGAATTTATTTCTTGGATATGGGATTCACTAAATAGTCGTTCCCTTCATCGTGTAGGTGCTGATTATAGTCCCAGTATTACCATAGATGTGCCCACTGGCGTCATTGATTATTCAAACAGATGTCTTCCAGGAGCTGTATCCCGTGGCGGTTCAGCCAATGGTTTTCACAGCGCGTTTTACAATGGTGACGTGTTTGTACATCTCACAGACGTGTTAGTTGATATTGCTTGGATATACTTCCTAACTACAGCATCAAACATCCTTTTCGAGTGTACCCAATTGTTCGGATACAATGTAAAGTTCAGGGGGAGAAAATATTGCTGTAGTGCTTTGTTCAAGCAGGAAGTAAGGTTAGACAGCCACTGTTTCATAAAACCGTGTTCAGTATCAATGAAGGTTTGTAGTTAATAGGCTAGGAGGATGGCGTTTGGGTCCATTAGGTTATACCAGATAGACTACCAAATGAGAGATTGATCGCGGTTGTTCCGCTCCGTTCGGTTTTTCCGTGCGGATGGATGGTCTCTGGATCAAAAACTAGGACATGCTACCATATTGGTGCTACCTGTGCGAATGGTGAATAAATATCATATTGTATTTTCTTGGTCCTCTCTTGTTACTCTAAACTATCAACAGGGAGGTTGGCCTTCCTCACAAGACGGCTGTTGGTGGCAGAACCACGTTGAGCGGCAGAACCTAGCAGGTTCGCCCAAGTTTTTGGTGGCCAGCACCAACACTAATTATATACCGCACAATATAAATACTGTAATATATAAATATAAATATAATTTATTTATTATATATTACAGATTTAATTTATTTATAAAACTAGAAAATACTGTCAGATCTTTTTAAAAATATTATTTAAATAATTATTTATTTTCTATCTGAAAATATAAACAGAGAAATACAGAATTAATCTTTAATTTCTTATTTATAATTTATTATTTCTTAATTAATTTATAATTTATAATATAATATTAATATATATTTATATATACAATAACGGCTTACTCTAAGATAAGATTTCTAGATTATTTACTAATTCAGTATATTAAGTAGATATATTATTTTATCTATTAAATTAATTTTTATTATTATAAAAAATCTACTTTCAATCTAATAAAAGCTATATTATATCATATTAATAATAAATTATACAGAGTTCTTTTATTAGATATTAAAAATTATTATCAGAAGGATTTGGTGCTAGTATATAAAATCAAATAATAATAAAGTTTAGAAAAATATTATACAGTAATTTTTTTCTGGACTTTAGTAAAGACTTCAGGAATAAATAATAATATAATAAATATAATTAAAAATAAAATATTGATTAGCTAATTATTCTTTAATATTTATTAATATATACATATCAATAATCTATAAAAAAAACTATAACTTTCAAAGTTCTAAAATTATATTATATATATAAGATTTATAGACTTATTTGTTATGGGACAAGTCCCTACTAGAGGACTCGGCTACCCAGCCTTAACTATTACTGCCTGCTGACTAAACATAATATACAAAATATTAAAAGCTCCGATTAAATACTTAATCAGAATTTAAAAAAATAAGATCTGTTGCTCTAAATCTACTAATAATATTTAATTTTATTAAAAACTATTAATATATTTTAAAATAAATCTCTAGAAAATTAAGCTTGTTAATATAATTACAGCTATATTATATCTACTTTTAAATTATATCTCTATATATATATTTAAGTATATTAGGAACTATCTTTGTATAACTGTTTGATTTCCTTATTAGATCTCTAGAACGATCCTACGGACCCCTGATCGGGAGCCTACACGCTGACGGCAGTACCCAAGCTGATCGCAGCACATCTTGCCATCGACTGACCTAAGGATCGGGCAGGAAATGTGACCCATGACTAAGCAGCTACAATTTGGTCCATGATGTAGTTAGCAACTATTGCAGTACTGACAACCACCATCTAAACTGTAAGTGGTCAAGCTCACGTCACTATTAAAGTGAAGCGGGGGTATCCTCTGAAGTGAATGACACTCCTTCCGTCATACCGCAAAACTGAGCTTCGATGCCTCGCACTTTCCTAGATTCGATTTTCTTGCAACACAACCATCTATCGATTTCCAATATGCTCGATCTTCCAACCTCCAGCTCACAACAAACCAACATGCCAGGTCTCACAACTGGTGTTATAGCACCACCAGCTCCTACTCTCAAGTATGACGGGTCAAGGAAGTTTACCAACACGTTGAAAGAACACCTATCGGAAGGGACCAATATTCTCGTGTTTTCTGAAGTTACCAAGGACGACTTTTCTGTTCTATCGTCAAGCAAAGCCCGACCGTTCAGATCAGTCAAGTACGCATACAACTCCCTGTCGAGAACGTTGACGTGTAGGATGCCGAAAACGCCCCACGAGGATGTAACTGGGCAATTCAGACGTCTGATCGAGAAACAACTGATGCTGATGGGGGTTGATTGCGAGGTCGAAAATCAGTCTTCTCCCCTTACGCAGATAGGATGCTGGACGAAGGAACCGGACACTTGCTGGATCCCTAGAGACACCGATACGCCATCTGTTGTACTTGAAACCGGCGCATCAGAGACTGCCGCACACCTCACAAATTCTGCTCGAGGATGGCTTGAAACTCCTGGGTCAACCGTGCTGGCCTGTATCACCATTAAAATTGGCCAGGGTAATGTATTGAACATCGACGTCTGGAGACACGGCCTCAGAAGACATGGTATGGCGACAAGGTATAGACATGCTCCTGCCGTAGTACAACAGCACATCACAATCATGGACGATCCCGCAGGCCCGCAAATCGAAGGATGGAAACTCGATGATGACCTAAGGGTGGTGAATACCACCGAACTTCTATTCGACTTCTCAACGTTTACTAAACGCCCCCCGGAAAACGATCTGGAGCACGACATTGTAATCGAGTATGATATGCTTGATCAGTTGGGTGCCACATTCTTCCGCAACCAGCACCGGCGTGCCCTGACCTTGAACTCCCCCGAAACTTGACGAAATCAAACACTTCGAAGATGGTCTTATCATCCGCTCTGCACCTTCCTGTCCCCTATGGTTCTACCACGCTATATGCAAAAACTGCTACAATATAGTAGCATGTCCCGGGAAATCCGAGGACCTCGTCTTTTGATCATTTGACTGTTCGATTGTTTACTTGTTCTCGTTTGTCATTGTTCCTGGCCGATCTCGAGGTCTCCGAGCTGTTCAGTTTCGACCTCACTTGATGCTGCCGCTTGACGCGTCCTTTATCCTCTGAAGAGTCCTTTGCTTTGTCTCTTCGTCTAACCTCGTTGTCTTTCGTTGTTTTTCGATGTCATCAAGGACTGAGCGTCGTATAGCAGAGCTCGCACACCGAATATCATCATTTCAAACATCAATCAGCCTCCCCATACACGTGTCGCATTGATCGAGCTATCCTCTCTCCCGTCGAATACCTCATATGTGAATTGAATGTTGAGAAACCAGTGAACAGCAACAGTTTTGCCTACTCTCCTGGCTGGGATATCAATAAGCGCGTACTCCATAAGGCCCTGAAAGATTTTCTACACATCTTGCAGGTACGTCTGTCGATACCAGCAGTGGGTTATTATACACTCGTCCGACGACCAGCTAGATCCTGAATGACCACTTGGCTGAGCCTCGAGATCGTGAAGTTCGAGCATTGCGAGTAATATCGATTTTTCTACCGCCAATCCGACCGTTCCTGGCGCCTACGATTCACCACAAGCGAACGTACCTACATCAAACATGAGCACACCAAATCAGGAAGGAACAAGCGTAATTAATCCTTCTACTATTCGACGCATTCGACCAGCCAAAACACAAAGGGTGCCTTCGATCAGAAATCTGCGTCGTTTGACCTTTGGTGTTAGGTTGAACCAGGGCCCGTCGTCAAACAATCCTAACAAATATCATTATCCGAGACTACGTCACGCCTAGCGCTGCGTACGATACGACCTTCCGAACAGCCTATATTATCGCTTTCATTCTCTTCATTGCAACCTTTAATCTCGTCTAACACCACTGTCGAGCACCATGTCGTCAAGCGGCAACATATTGTCCAACAGTGCTGCTGACGGACAAGCACGTCCTACCGCCGAGCCTAGTATGCGTGATCTTTTGACAGCTATTCAATCCACGCAGCAGCGTTTAGGCGCCTTTGAGAAACATCAGAAATCGAGGGTTGAGCAGGAGGTCGACCCTGTTATTATCATCCTCGTAGAACGATATTGGCGGAACGAATTTCTGATTTGTTGTTTAACGATACTCTGTAGTTAGTAGGGGGAGGGGGGCGCCTGCTGTTCTTCGGAATACAAGTTTATCTCTTAAAGATGGGACTCGCTTAATAAATGATTCTTTTATCATACGAGCACGGGGTGAAGTCGCTTTTTCTTACGTCAACTGTCGTTTTCTTTTCTAGCCGGGGGTGGGGGGATGTTATTGAGCTTACTTTATAGTGGTATTGCATATGCCATGATTTAACCATGACGTTCTGCTACACATGACTGCTTTCGT